GGTTATGTATTTTTGCCAACATATCTATGTTGTCGTCTTTCAGTTGTGGCTCTCGCTCTCACATTCACACCCGTAGATATGACACTTTTTGAGCTTTAATAAATAATAACAAATATTTAATTTACTGATTAATTAATTAGTTTTTATACTTCTTGAATTCTTTATATTCTTTTACAAGTTTAGCATAAGTTTTAATCTTAACTTTTATTTAGATTCTTGAAAAACTTACGTTTACTGTTTCTCTAAACACAATATTTTGATTTTGCATGGTTACCAACCAAACTAAACTTAAATCGATTTAAATCTGACACTTAAGTTGTATTTGTTAATATTATTAGAATCAATTAGAATTTTCTTTAGTATCATGTGAAAATTTCTTAATAAAATGTTCCAAGAGTACTTTCTAACGTATCATAAAGAAGAATTGACAAAGATTCTTACAGCAGCTCCTGAAGAAATCAAGCACTTGTCCTTAAACATAAGGTAAAATACACACATCCTTCTTCAGCAATAAATATTTTAACATTTGATTTTAGTTTCGTAAAACTATTTGAAAATGATCCAAAGCTAGGTAACATGATTTTAAAAGATGCTGAAAAAGTTTTGGAAAGCCTGGACGAAGCTTTGGTTAATATACAAAACATTTTAGCAGTCAACTTAAATACCACTGAAATTTTAGAAAAAGTTGTTCATACCAGAGTGTATGGCTTGCCCTCTTGTCATGATCAACATAGAATTTCAATTCCCAGAAGTATTGATTTGCACTTGTTTTTACAAATAACTGGTAAGTTAATATAAGTAATGTTGACTTAAATTAATAGATCAGTATTAATTCAGGTTCTGTGGTACGAACAACCCTTGTAAAAATGCTAGAATTTCGCAGAGATTACAAATGTTCGAAATGTAAATATCAAATGACAGTCAATGCAGTATATGAGCAGAAATATATAATTTTTCCACCAAAGAAATGTCTAAATCCTGAAGGGTGTGGAAATTTAAATATTATTCCTTTAAATTGTTTGGATGCCAGTAATTGTAAAGACTTCCAGGAAATAAAAATTCAAGTAAGAGAAAATATAAACAGGAATAATTAAAAGTTATTCACTTTAGTCATTTTTCAGGAGCAGGTTTCTAAATCTAGCTTGGGAAATATGCCTAGTTCAATGTGGGTAACTCTAGAAGATGATTTAGTTGATATTTGTAAACCGGGTGATAGTATTACAGTGTGGTTAGTATTTTATATTTTTATAAGACATTAACAAGTAATAATCCTTTTCTATTTTAGTGGGATTTTAAAAAGTAGATGGGACCCACTAATTGTAAATAAAACGATTTCTGCTGAGTTAATCTTGAAAGCAAATCATTTACAAGTAAATAATGCACAAAGTTCATCTGTTTTGGTTACACCAGATATAAAAAACTTTTTTCACTCTTTTTGGAAAAAATACAGAAATCGGCCTCTCCTAGGACGTGATATTATAATAAAGTCTATCTGTCCTCAGGTAAAAAATGAATGTTTTATTAGTTATTGTTTTTAATCTCTAAGTTTTGTTGCTTTGCAGATTTATGGTCTTCACACTGTTAAATTAGCTGTAGGAATGGTGCTAGCTAGTGGCTCCCGAATGCAAAACATTCAAGAAACAGGTGTCAGAACAAGATCTGAGTCGCATTTATTACTCGTCGGAGATCCAGGTACAGGGAAATCCCAAATTTTAAAATTTGCCGCCAAAATTATACCGCGATCGGTGTTAACAACTGGGGTCGGTTCCACATCCGCAGGGTTAACTGTTACTGCAATTCAGGTAAAGATTTATTATTTTTCAAAAATGTCTAGTTTTTGATACCATGTACATCTCATTTAGGAAAATGGAGAATGGCAGTTGGAAGGGGGTGCTCTAGTCCTTGCCGATGGAGGGATTTGTTGTATTGACGAGTTTAATTCTATGAAAGAACGCGACCGAACTAGCATACATGAAGCAATGGAGCAGCAAACTATTAGTGTTGCTAAAGTAAAAAAAAAAAAAACAAATAAGTATTTCTATCTTATTAAAATAAAACTTTTAAGTATAGGCCAGTATTGTGTGCAAATTAAGCACCCGTTGTTCCATTTTGGCTGCAATTAATCCAAAAGGTAATTTCGATTTGGGCCAGCCCTTATCCGTAAACGTTGGCGTACCAAGTCCGCTCTTGAGCCGTTTTGATGTCATATTGATTCTGAAAGATATTGTAGACGTCAAATGGGATGAAGTGGTTTGCGATCATATACTCGACCGGTTGAAGAAAAAAGGAAAAAACGATCCAGAAACATGGGGAATTAATTTATTGAGAGTAAGTTTGCAGTTTTTTTGTAGTTTAATTTAGAGTAACTTTTATAATAATCTACTTTCTGTATATTTTTTATTTATTTATTTGCAAGAAGTATTCTTTTTGTACACTTACAGGCGTATTTTTCTTACATAAAAGACATTCAACCAAATTTAACTCCTCAAGCAAACAGGATTTTAAGCAATTATTATCAAGCTCAAAGACGAAGCTTTGCTAAAAATAGAGTCACCGTCAGATTGCTAGACAGCTTAGTTAGGTAAATTTTGTAACAGACATTCTTTTTTTGTTACAATATAAAGAATATTAATGGTATTTAAAATTTCCCTTGTAGATTATCTAAGGCGCATGCTAGATTAATGTTTCACACCGAAGTGCACGTTATGGATGCAGTAAATGCAGTTATTATGATGGAGTGTTCAATGCATGGTGCTATTTTGAACTTAAACGTGAACAGTTTGCATTCACCGTTCCCTAAAGATCCAATGCAGTCTTATAATCAACTGGCAAGATCAATTTTAGAAAAACTAGAACTAGTTGAAATTTTGAACGATGAATTAATGAAATTAGCTGAACAAAAGGCGTCTGAAAATGATCCCACAGTGTCTTTTGAAAAAGAAACCAGAGAAGGTGGTCGATTACTATCACGATTAAATCTTAATTATGAGAAAATAAAACATAGCGAAAGCTATAGTGACCAAAATGACTCTTTTGAAATCAACAAAGAAACTAGAGAAAGCATTGATGTTTCAGAAAAGAATAAAAAAACAATTACAAATAACCAAACGAATCCCTTTGAAGACAGTGAAAGTGACGAAGAAAATAGAAAATGTGATATAGTTGATTTTAAAATTGTTAAAAAAATTAATGGTAAAACAGTAGATAAAGAAAAAATTGTAAGGGATAATTCAGTTTCCGAATTATTAAAAAAAAATACATTTAAAGAGCAGTGTGATGTGCCTATCAAAGATACTAACAGTAATAGTAATAATTCAGAGGAGCTTGCAAATACTTTAAAGAAGAGTACAAGAGAACAAGTAAGCGACAATAAAGAAATGAGTACTAACGATAAAAAAAGTACAAAAGACTTTCTATCAAAATTTAAATTTACCAAAAAAGTGCGTAATGAAGATAATAAATCTAAAACATCAGCTTTAAAACCGGTTGTAGAAAATAAAAATACTTCAATATTTGTAATAGAGAGCAGTAATTTGCAAGATAAAATTAATGACATCGATTGTAAAGACAATAAAAATGAAGACGCAAATAAAAAGAATAGCAACGATTCGACGTCCTATAAAAAGAAGAAACCTAAATGTAAAAGAAAAAGAAATATTGACGAATTTGATGCTTCGCTTAAAAAGGAGAAAAGGGCGAAAGGAAAACGTTTCGATTCTGATGTGGAAATTGACATAGAAAATGATATTGATTGGAATCTTGGTGGAGTTACTGACGAGAAAGAAAAAAAGGTTTTTCCATTAAATAATGAAACTTTGCCTTCACTTGAAATTGTTAGAAATAGTGCAATACCATCTCAAAGTTCGTCACGAGGGTTGTTTGAATTCGAAGACGATAATGTTGAAGATTGGGACTTGTGAAGAGGTAATTATGATTAGTTGATCATTTAATTTTTATTAAAGATAAGGAAGTCAAAAAAAATTAGAACTTGTGAAGCAGTAATTGTAAGCTAACTGTTGTTAACTGTAATTAATTTTCAATTATTAAGTTACAATAACTTCATTTTCACAAAGAAAAACATTTTTTTTTTTTTAATATTTTTGTATATATTTATACTAAGTTAAAGATAATAAACTTTAATGTGAAAAAGGTAATTTTTTGTTTCAAATAAAGTGATGTAGTTTTTGCTTATATTTTTAGGTGCTTATTACTTGGTAACTTTTACTTCTGTAACCCAAACACAAAGCATTAACATATAAGTACTTTATATTTAATTTATATGTGTATTAATCAGTAACTTTAAATATTTTAGACAAGTGAGAAAGAAAAGTCATTTTCCATTTAAAGAAATGCATTCTTCATTCTGAGAAATACATATATGATACTATGAAAAAAGAAATACCAATAATATTGGGTGAGTGAATATTCTTATTTATTTATTTATTTCTTAATCATAGTACAAATGAATTAAAGATATGTTCCTACTTTTATCTCATTATAAACTTCAATAAAAAAAAACAGAAAAAATAAGAAATTCCTAAGTTGGTTGGTTATACAAACAAAATTATTAAATTTATAAGCAACTTTTTACATGTGATACAATCTCATTTAATAAGTTATTTCTGTTGTTTTTGTTTACCTAAAAAGCAAATAATAAAATAAAGTTGTTCCACATATTTAAGGAAGAATCCTTACTGTAATTAAATGAGTGCTGTCACTGCTTCTTATATTTTCAACAAGAGAGATTGGTTTTCCTTTTGCAACTGGTATGGTGGCTATTATAATTTTTTTAGGGTCCTTAAAAGTTTTAACTACTTTTTGTTTAAAATTTTCACTGAACAATTCCATTTTTCCTATTTCATCTATGACAATAATCTCATTTTCCTTTAAAAAAATAGAATATGTAGGTAATTTTAATTACTATTGAATATCTTACACTTTCAAAGGTTGGTAGAGCAACACTTTCAAACTCATTTAGGAATACTGTATACTGGCCAACTTTATATTTGCTTTCATTACCTGGTTCAACATATTCTCTAAAATGTTTTTATTTTTAATAAATGCAGATTGTGTATGTAGTATAAAATTACAAAGTTCTAGAGAGTCTTCTCCTTTTACCTCCTAAAGTAACAATATCAAAACCTATTCTTGAACCAGTTTCATTTCTTACGTCTTCGGTATAAAATCCATCTATTTTACACACATTCTCAGCTTTTAAAGCATCGCAGACCTTTTTTATTAATGTTGTTTTTCCTACACCTTCAAAAAAATACATATCAAGAAACCAATATTTTCTATATATTCACCAGGAAAGCCTGTTAAAACAATATGTTTTACACTTGACATATTTTCTTATCTCTACTCTAATGTCTGTAAGTCTCTTTTATTGCTAATTTTCTAATTAAAAATGTACCTCCTTTAGAAGTGAGGTTATGAGGATTGAATTGTGTAAAGTCTAACAAACGACATACGGCTTATAACTATAGATAAGATGCAAAAAGATAACTATAGATATGTAATCTATGGTTTAGAAGATTGCCGCTTTATTTTAGCTTTTCTTTGTAGGTAATACGATATTCTGAGAAAGTAGAAATTCAAAATAGCTTAAAAATAAAGATGATAAACCAGTAAAAAGGATTAAGAAGGAAATTGTATGTAACCTTACTTATCATAATGTCACGAATATTATTATTATTATCTCTATGGTTCCTTCCTTCTTTAGATGTTTAAATAATATTGCCACGAAATTTTAAAAATCAAATTCAAACACAAACATAATCCGTAGGACCGTAGAAAAAAGTGTAAACTAATTAAAAAGGTAAAAATTATCGCAACTTACAATCAAAACTTTGTATATTTTGTATTTGCTAGCTGTAAAAAAAAGTCTAAAAGGTCACATAAATCAATTTAACGTTTTGTGTTAATTCATTTGCCTTTCTGTGTATTTTTGTTTTATTTTGTATCTTATTCATTTATCGATGTTTTTTCAGTACAGCTTGAACATTGAAATTTGTAGTTTCATGAGTACAATAAATCGTCTGTGATGGTGAAGGTATCCTTCTTATGGGGCTTCACATACTTACTTTCACCATGGGATAAGGTGAGAATACATAGAATAGAAAAATATAGACAATTCTAAAAAAGTGGTTCCTGTTTTCTACTACATAGATACCATATTTACAAAAATAATTCATACATGTAATTTTAATATACTTTACTTGGAAGTCAATTTATGATACATTTATTGATACATTATTTTAATTGTAATTTTTGCCTGCTTATTTATTAGTAATAACTGAAAAATTCAATATTATTAATTAATGTTCTTTTTATTATATTATTCGCTATCAAGTCTAAGTTAATTATATATTTTCATACTGTTTTAATTGTTTAGGAGGAATATTACACAGACTCTGGACATTAAGTGGAGTTGGGCAGTAATTGTAGCAGTCCTCATTTCAATCCAGAATCAAGCAGTGTCTTTTTATCCATTGAAAACAGAAACAACAAGGGTAAGTGAGAACCTTCTAATTTATGCAAAAAAATGAAAACTCTTGATAAAGTTGTAATTATTTTGCTTAAGATATTTTAATTTTTTTAATTTAATCGATGTGCATTTTTATGTTACTTTATTTAATAGTGTTGTTAGTTTGTATTTTTGCCTATTAGTCTCTGTAATAGATTATATTGATTAAAATACAAATCGCCCTTTTGTATTTTATGTGTGTGAAAAGTAATTTAATTTTATCAGATTATAAGTACACAGCAGAAGACTAAGTGGGAAACTTTTAATTTAAAAGATAAAATGAAGAAGCTTGATATGGTGATAATTGTTTTGCCTAATGATTATTAACTTTATTTCGAAACACTTTCTTTATCATTGTAAAAGGATTGTTTATTAAAAAAGAAAAACAATTCCTAATGCATATTTGAGGTAGTTGATTGAAACTTTACATTCATGTGAACATTGGAATAAATTAATTAGCGGTCACTATCAAAAGTATATTTGTGTGCTGTTAAATTTTAAGTTTGGCTTTTTTTTGTTCTACTAAAAGCTTACAACAGTTGTAATGTTACTCGTAACATTATCATTTTATCAGCTGGTCCTAAATAATCATAATTTTAATTATTTTGGTTTGTTTTTTGTTGTTCATTCAGAAACGTTTTGGAAAATCGAAAAGAAGCTTTTGTCAGTTTTGGAAATACATAATTATTTTAGAGGATTTACTATATAGACACTTTTTAGTTTTGCAATAAACGCCAGCGGCTGAATAATTGATAATTTTATATTTAAAGCAAATATTTCTTGAAAATTTTCTTAGTTCGTTTTGTTATAGATTTAAAAAATGTAAGTATTTTAGCATTTTTATATACGTAAAAATTGAATTTAAATATTACAGTTTTGAGCAATTATCAGTATGCAATCGAATTTACTTTGTGTATATGTGGTTGCATATGTAATGATTTTCTTCTACGTTATTTTCCTCTGTTTTTTTTTATTAATTTTAATTGCTCATTTTAAAACTTGTAGTAAATTACAATTAATAATAATTTTAGATTATTTAGATAGTTGTGTGGACATAATTGCTTGAAACAGTTAACTTTGTCAGTAATGTGTTACATTTCAACTTTCCATTATTAATTAGGCGTGGTAGGTATTGTAACTAATTTCATTTAAAAAAGGCTGTTTGTAAAGTGTATTCTGTCATTATAATTCTTCTTGTTTTCAAAACTTAACATTACCTCAAAGAACTGTTAAGGTTATACAATATATTTGGTATTAAAAGAGAAAAAGGCATTACTTTATCTATTAAGCACGCTGTTTAGAAGAGAGCATGAACTACTTATATCTGAATTATATTTCTTTTTACAGAAGCATAAAAACTTGGGATGACATGTGTTATGAAACATTGGGTTTCTCTTTCACTCTGCAAAGTAGCAGTACCTGAAGGTCCTTTTTTGGCATTGGGAACGGAAACAATGTGCTATTGTTAAAAGAAAGATGTATGACATGAATTGGTAAGTAACAATTAAAAGTATTAAATGAGGTTCTACAAAGTTCAATTTCTTAGACATTTATAACTTTCTTTCAATAGACAAATAGATTATAAGCAACCTTTCAGAAATGTCATGAACAGAACAGTAATTTAAAAACATTTTTATTTCTTGATTATTAATATTTTAAATTCCGACGTTTTAAAAGGCAAGTCTTTAATAAGTAAAGGAATTCAGTACTGCTACTGCAGCCTGACGTTCAGAATACTTTGCGGTGAAGTGGGTTGTCTATATCAAGGACGAGTAGTTGGCGTATTTAAAATTATGTATTTTAAACTCAAATTATCGTGACACCAATGTTACAGTGCGAATCGAAACTTGTGAGCAACTAAATTTTTAAATTTTAATAAAATAATTTCATTTTATTAGATCCATAAGCAGTCTGAAAATAATTATGATTTTACGACACCTGACACTGTTAATGTAAATGAATTTTTTTCACATTATTTGTTTATTTCTCTAATGTGGGCATTTTTACCGTGTGTCCTGTACATTACAATGTTTTTATGATTTCTGATAAAGGAAGTTGCTTAGAGATAAAAATACAGAAAATGTAATAACAGTCAAGGAGATAAAAACTAGTTAATCAAAAATAGATATTTATTATGAAGAAAAGTATTGCATTCATTTTTTTAGTTAGTAGGTATATAACTATAAGAACAAAGTAATGAATTTTTAATCTTTTGTCCAAAGATTGAGAAATTTGTAAGAGTTGTTTCTTTCGTAGGCATCTGAAGTCTACAATTTATTTCAGCATTTTCAAAAAGCATTATATTTTTAAAAAATTCGTGTTTTCAGACTGCATTCAAATTAAAAGAAATTAAGTTTCAGTTATAAAACTTTCGTAAAAAAATGACATGCACCTTTTGTTGGCACAAGAAAGAAGAAACTAGCTGAAATTTCTCCGATGAAAATGAAAATTTCCCACCCTTATGACAACGAAAGGTGCTAGTCAATTTTTCACAACGGTTCATTATGTTTGTGTATAACATGACTATTACATTCTAGTATTTTTTTTGTTGATATAAGTAATAGTCGATAGTCATACAGCAATTTTAAGAGTAGTGGTTATAGTGAATTCTTTTATACTTGCAAAATTTCCTTATTTACGACTGGGAGGCAAATGGAAATTAATTTGGAAGTCACTAAAACAACAAATTGTCTGCAGTGATATCCCTCCTATATTTGTTTTGCTCTGCTCATGATACTGGTAGACTTTGGAACGCTACTTTCTACAGGTAGTCGAGGTGAGAAAACAAGACGTAATTAATATTAATTGCTCTTTATTAATCTATGGTGGCATTTCTTTTAAACTGTTATCAATTGGCCAGAGTATAGATTGATGTTGTGGCGTATGTATAGTATTTTAAATATCTATAGACCACAGCACCTATGGTATGTCGTTTAACGTTTATCTATTGTTGACAGTTTAAATTGACTTGTGCATCTGTGGATTTTTAATAAATTAATGTTATGTGCGTCTATGATTAGTTCACCTATGTTAGTTCACATTTATATGTCATATTTAGTCTGTCATGTAAACTTCACGCGTGTCACCATTTTCTAGTTCAGCTGTTATACTTGGTTTTTGATGGGTGTTTTTAAGTGTGTTTGATCTCTTCCTTATTTAATAGTGTGATTAATATGTTTTTTTTCCCCATTTCTACAGATTGTTCAACAAATGAGAGGAAGTTGAAGTTCATGTTGGTCGTTCTGAAACAGCCATTGTCTACATGGGTGTGGTCTTTGGTGAACTATATTCTTGATTTGCTGTTTTCGTCTTCGCTTAGCATCATTATGCAGTTAGTTTTGAACTGATGAGTGAGAACAAGTGGATATTTATTTGATTTCCATTGGAATAAGGAATTTTCTGCATTGGCATTATTCCTGGATTTTGTTTGCTTTTCACACCTGCAAACTTTGGAATATTACAGTCTACAGTTAACTAAGGTGGGAATACTTAATTAATTTTAATTGCTCTTTATTAATCTGTTTGCCACCGTATCTGTTTCAGATCGACGTTGGAGAAGACAAAGATGACCCCATAGTTAATATAGTTCTCTATCTTGCATGTTCTATCTAATAGAATTCGTTAAGTTGATTTTATTCAAATTAATTTTTTTATTTTGCATGTTTTTTTAATTTTTTTGTAGTTTCTTGTAGTTTCAAATAGTTAATTTGATTTAGTTTTTATTTTGCATGCTTATTTTTGTTCTTTTTGTTTGAAGTAATTGTTGATTGTAGATTCTTGTTTTTTTTTGTATGTAGTAGTAGTGTTGTGTAGTGTAGTAGTAGCACTAACTCGTTTAGTAGTTGTAGTGTAGTCTAACATGTCTCTTGCTTACCTCTTCGCTTAGCTTACTGCATATTCTTACTAAATTGCTTTGCATTTACCCTACGAGTTCTACATGATTCAACGTTTCGTTATCGTGTGTGTTTCTTCTCACCCTTGTGGAATTAGGGAGGGCCTCCCCGAACGACTTCCCTTGGGCTTAGCTATTTAGTTGATCTTAAAAGTGTCTTATACACTTTTCGCGAGTCTACTCTAGCGTTACTTCCTTTCAGACAGGGTACAGTGGGTTATCTGGAATAGGAGCAATAGGCGACTGCCCAGCTTGCCTTGGCGAAATCTGTCCGATCTTCTCTACCAA